GGAAAACCTGCCTGAAGGACACAGAGGATCCTCCCAGGGAAAAACCTGCCTGAAGGACAGGAGGATCCTCCTGGGCTGATGGGAGGGAGGAGAGGGGAATTCCTGTGTCAGGCAGAAGCTGCTGGCAGAAAAGAAAACCCCAAAGCTGATGTGTCAAATGTTCCCCAGGTGTCTCCAGAGGAGCTGACGCTTGTGCACAACCTGAGGAAGATGGTGATGAACGACTGGGTGAGTTCCAGGCTGGGCCTTTGGGGTGTCACTCTCAGCCACTAAAGCCACCCCAGGCCCAAAGGCCACAGGTCCTGCAGCCCAGCTGGGTCTCCACCAGTGCTGGTGTCTCATCAGTGCTTCTGGCATCACCCAAAGAGAAGGAGAACAGCTCAAATCCACAGCACTGCCCGATTCCTGTGCTGAATTCCAGTGTGGGACCCCGAGCTGGAGGTGTTTGATAGCCCTTAGGACATCTGGGTTTATGATTTTTTTAACTGATTAGAAGTTTTAGTCCCTGAAGGTCAACTCCTCCTCCTGCTTTTTCAGTCCCCTGGATGCTCAGAGCTCCCACAAGCTGGGCTTCAGATTTAAAGGTCCCTTTTAAAAAAGCATTTCAGTTGTTTGCAAACAAAGCCATTTACAGGTAAGAGATGTTTAAATGGCAGTGCTGGGAACACAAGCAGTGTGTTCCCTGTGCCCCCATGGACCTGGAGTAGCAGAGTTAACGTGGTCAGGAGCATTTTAAGTCCATTTTATAGAATTTTGGAATTGATGTAAGATCAAAGAATCACAGAATCCCAGACTGGTTTGGGTTGGAAGGGACCTTAAAGCTCATCCAGTCCCACCCCCTGCCATGGGCAGGGACACCTTCCACTGGCCCAGGTTGCTCCAAGCTCCATCCAGCCTGGCCTTGGGCACTTCCAGGGATCCAGGGGCAGCCAGAGCTCCTCTGGGCAACCTGTGTCAGGGCCTCACAGCCAGGAATTCCTTCCCAACATCCCCCTTAGTCAGTGAGAA